TACATATCAAACATTTTACATGTTAATTGCGATCACAATGCACAACATTTTAGTAACCAATCCAACCAATAATTTGCTCTTCTCAATTTACGATTTATACAACCTACACACCACATTGATAACTTCTCTCTAGAAGAAATACTTTTTGTCCCATTCCACTACCAAACCTTCATCTAATCATTAGAACAATATTTAATTACATTCTATTTTTGTTTAAATCTTTGAATATTATTTTGCTTTTCATTTATATAATCAACTTTTAGTCCAACATTATTAAAAAAAAAAACTTTAATCAAAATTACTCTTATTTTTTTAATATTATTTTAGTATTATATTTTTTTTGTCAAAAATCATTTTTATCCTTTACTAGCCGAATGACCCGGGCAACGCCCGGGTTTTACCCGATTAAATGTTTTTATTTAAATACTATTCGTTACAATTATAAATTGGCGGCGTGGATGTCACTCTTGTGAAACGTCCCGCTCCAAACTTTGTGTCTGAGAAGCGATATTTTTATAGAAAGATGTTCTGGCTTTTGTTTTCTGCTCGAATGAATGTTTTTCTGTTAGAATTTTGTTCCTGCGTACAAAATAATGAGCTGGTTTCACCCATGGTCTCTGCTTTTTGGAATTTTTCCCGATATAATTTTGTATCTGATAATCTTACATGATACAGCAATATCGTCATCATCATTTTCTGACTAATAATATATAGTTTTAATAATTGATTTATATATTTTTTAAAATATTTATCGTCTTCCTCGTTGGTTTGAATTAGTGAACTACTGCGAATTTGTATACCGGACATACAAACCAACAAACAAACAAACAAACAAACATACAAACATTCATTTTTATATATATAGAAGATATAATATAAATGAGTTTTAAAAATTGTTTTAAAAAAATGCATCGGCCGGGAATCGAACCCTGGCCGCCCGCGTGGCAGCCGAGCATTCTACCACTGAACCACCGATGCTTAAAAAAATGGCCATATTTAGGTATTCATTCCATTCCGGATTAATCCGCGTAAAAAAAAGTTCTTCAAATGAAAAAAAGAAATAGCCAAAAATACTAATCAAAATGCAGCCGAAATTTTTTCTCAGGTTTATAAAAAGCGACATGCAAAATTTGGTACCAATTGGTTCAGTAGTTTTTGAGTTTATCGCGAAACAGACAGACAGACAGAAATTGACTTTTATATATATAGAGATTATTATTACTTTTTTATATTACATGTTTGATTTTGTCCGCTTAAACTTTATTCATTCACAATGATATTTCTATATTTGTATTCGTTTTATATATTTGTTTTTATACCTCTATATAATATGACCATGTTTATCATTAACTATCAGGCATTAACAGCAATCATTTACAACAATCTATTTCACTAACCACTTCAGTGTAATTTTCACTACTATCTATTTCTCTCTCTCTCTCTCTCTCTCTCGGCCGTGCGGCCACGCGGCGCGCGAGCTCCGCGTTTTTTCGGGATGGAGATGGGCGATGTGGAGATAAGTAATCCTTATGGGGTATAGGCGGAGAGCCAACATCAAGACCTACAAGATGGTGTTAGTTCCATCATTGTAGAAGAAAGGGACGTCGAGATAGCGACGAAAAATAATTCAGCGGTAAATCGCATGATTTTAAAAAAAGTAGACGGCTATGTAAATTCGTCTACAAAGAACGGCAGCGATGCAAATCAGACTGCGGAAACAATCGAGAAAAATGTTAATTGGGCGGATCAAGTGGAGGCCACGGAGAAGGATGAGGATACTACACTTTTCATCCAAGTGAAAAAAGGAAGGCGTCACCTAAAAGCCAGCCGACCAAGGTTGCGAAGTCGGAATCCAGCGCTCCAAAGCCAGCTGGGAAGATACGAGTTATCAACAGGAATACCGTGGCAGCCATCAAAAACACCAGGCAGCAGCAGCAGATCAACAAGGCCAGATCTGCAGCAGGATCCTTCGATCAGGGCTGCTTTATTGAATGGTGCCCGGACTTCGATCACCTGTGCTACATGAGGGCCTTGGAAGAGAAGCTGGGAAGGGGATCCGTCTTCCAGCTCATGAGAATGTCTGGCCACATGCTGGCCAGTCTGTCCAGTGTGGAGAAGGCCGAGCGCCTGATCGAGGATGGACTTACAATCGGAGACACCATCCTCAGGGCGTTCCCGTATAGGAAAAGGGCAGAAAAAATAATAATCGGGAACCTCCCCATCGCCGTAAAGGAGGAGGACATAGTCGCAACCCTGCGGCCATACTGCAAGGTCGTCTCTCTGGCCTTCGAGATTGTCAACTGCGAGGGCTACTCCTGGGCCACAGGCAATAGAGAGGCCTTCATCCTCATGAATGATGGCATGATGCTCCACCAGCTCCCTGGAAAAGTAGATATCAAGTCCAAGGGAGAAACAACACCTGCCTTCATCACGCACGGCGTGAAATGCAGCATGTGCCATCGCCAGGGACATCGGCGAGCCACCTGCCCCAGGAGAGACAGGGAGGAACGCCCCACTCATCAACAAACACCCAGGCAGGACCCAGCGCACCTTCCTCCTACCACTCAATCGCCATCCTCTGCAGCACTTACCACGACTCCCCCAGCAGCAGTTGGCAAGCCTCAGGAGACCCCCTCCAAAAATATCTCGTCTCCCGCGGCGTCCACTCCCGTCCAACCAACGCCTGCTACAAGCGCCGCAAAATCACCAGCGGAAAAAATGTCTTTCTCCAGCAAAGTTAGCGAAACTAAATTAGCTGTTCCTACCCTGCCCCTCCCTCCTGTTCCCAGAATGCGGGAGGAAAGCTCTCGGGAGGAAGAAACGCCGAAGAAAATATATTTGGCTCTTGAGCAGCTGAAGCCAGTCCTTGAGCGACTCCCTGACACCATATTCAAGGACATTGAAACAGCGGGCGTAGGGAGAGGAAAAGTGATCCAGGCAATCACCAACAAAGGCCCTATGAAGGCGTTGATCGCTGCCTTGAATCCCGAGCAGGCGGCCTGCCTGACTGACCTCACCACCAAGATGATATTCAATGTAGAGGATAAGGCCTGCCACCTCTACAAGCGGCTCACCACCATCAGAGCTGCAGCTAATAGAGGGATGTCATGAGCTTCCGCATGGCATGCCTCAATGTGCGCGGCATTGCCGTTCGCGAAAGGAGTGTGGAGTTGTGCTGCTTCCTTAAGCAGCACGCAGTTGATGTCGCGTTCGTCCAGGAGACGAACGTGCTGGCCCTGAACAATGTCCGAGACCTTTGCCTGGGCTACAGCGCCGTCTTCGCGCCATCATCGACATCCAGGGGTTCCGGCCTCGTGGCCATCGTGGCGTCGGGTGTCACCGTCCTCTGGCATCGTGTCCTGTGGCCAGGCAAGATTGCCATCGCCGGGGTCAAGAACCGGGGCCTCGAGACCCGCGTCATCAACTGTCACCTCTCCCACACTCCCGAAGAACGGCATCTCCAACTGCAAATCATCGCAGAGGAAGCCATCAGAGAAGATGCGTGGGCCCTCGGCGGCATCAACATCTCCGAGGAGTCTTCGAGCGACATCGGGTCTGGAGCCGTGGAAGCCTTCGCGGAACTACTGGACCGGACCGCCCTCGTCGACGTCGCCGCCATCTTCGATGCCGCGCACCTGCCTACCAGGGTCGCCAGTTACGGAAGCCGGGTTGACGCCTCCCGTCTGGATCGAGTCCTTATACCATCAAGACTCTCTGGGCGCGTCACCCGTTACTGGACCCTCAATTACCGCAACTCGGACCACCGTGCCATCCTTCTCTAAGTGGGGGATCCCCCTTCACCGTCTGCGCCATCCATCTCCGCGCTACTGCGATCAGCGCCAGTCATCGAGAGGATTGAGGCACTTCTTAGCGAAGCTTCGCAGGAAATCGAAGGCATCCCTACTGGAGATCTATGGGGAAAATGGGGAAAATTGAAGCGGGAACTCGTTGAAGACATCAAGTGCCTCTACGTTCCCCGCGTTGAAGATGAGGACTACGTCACCAGGGCAAGTCGGTTTCTTCGCTCCAGGCTCGAGGCTGAGACCGTGGAGGCGGACTACCCTTCACTGCCTGAACTTGGGCGTGCCCTGCGTGTCCGACAACATCGCGCGGAACTGACGACCGTCTTCGACGCCCAGGGGAACCTCTTCGAGGGAAAGAGCCTGAGGCGCTACGACTTCAACTCCTCCAGAGAGCGCTTCAACGGCTCTATCTGCAGCCCGGAGGACATCGCTGGGTTCTTGGAGGGAGCTACTGAGTGCATCACTCTGGAGGACAGTGACCCGCTTCATCGAGCAGATATCTCCTTGAATGAGGTGGAAGTTGCCATCAGCCATCTGCCTCAAGGGAAAGCGGCTGGTTGGGATGGCATACCCTGCGAGCTTGTCAAGGGCTTCGAGGACTTCTTCGGTGGAGTCATACATCAAGTCCTCGCCGAATCCAAGCTTCGCGGGACCCTTCCAGAATCATCGAGGAGGAATATCATCTGCCTCGTCCCCAAAGCGCACGGTGGTCCGGGCCTAAGCGGTTACCGGCCCATATCACTTCCGACGGCGGACTACAGAATCGTCAGCGGCGTTCTTCTGGGTCGTCTACGTCGACACCTTCCAGCTATCGTGCCAGATTTCCAGACATACGCTGTTCCGGGAAGATGTCTCTCCTGGAACATCGCGTGCGTGTCTGACGAGGTGGCCCTGGCCTTCGAAAACAAGACGCCACTGACAGTCATCTCCACCGACCTGCAGTCCGCCTTTGACAACGTGGACCGAGAGTTCCTGGCCTCCCAGCTACGCATCATCGGCCTGCCTCCGCCCTTCATGGAATGGCTCCACCTGCTCTACGCGGAGGCCGACGCTACCATCAAGGTGGATGGAAACTTCACCCGCCCATTCAAAATGCGCAGAGGGTTTCGGCAGGGTTGTGCCTGCAGCACAGCCCTTTTCTCCATCTTTACGGGTCCCCTCCTGCGCCACTTGGAGAGAATTCTCGGAAGAGGGAACGTCCTGGCGTACGCCGATGACATTCTCCTGCTGATCCGCGAGGATTGGCAGATTGAGAGAGTCAAGACCATCTTTGACGAATTCCGGCGTGCGTCGGGAGTCAGCGTCAACTTCCTGAAAAGTAAAGGACTGTGGTGCGGCACCTGGAGGGACCGTGCCGACTCTCCGCTGGGCATCTCGTGGTCCGCATCCTCCATCACGGTGCTGGGCTGCGAAATAACATCAGGCCATGGAACCTCGGTCCAGGAAAATCACCTGCTGGGGATCTTGGAGAGGGCGATCTCAAGTTGGTCCCCATTTGTTCGCGGCTTCTCCCTGGTGGGGCGGGCGAGAGCGGCCAACTCGCTAGTACTGGCGGCGGTGCTCCACCATCTGCACGGCTACCTGCCCAGTGATGCCACTATCGCCAAACTGCAGGCCAGGCTGACGCGGTTCGTCTGGGGATCCTGCCATCGCGCCGCCTGGCTCCCGGGAGGTCTACTGGCACGTCCTGTGTCCGTCGGTGGCGTAGGACTGCTCGACATCAGGACCCAACTCCAGCTCGCCTGCTTCAAGGGGGTCTAGGCTGCGTCCAGAAATGGAGACAAGAACGCCTACTCTTGGCTGGTGGAGTCTGGAGCCTGGATGACCCCCTTGTCCTCGGGTTCCTGGTTGCTGCCTCGCCGCCGCCGGCTGCTGGATCTATAGGGGCAGGCCTCCTCCATCCTGGGCCTGAACCATCGGGTGGTGCCTGCTCCCACTCTACTGAACCTGCCCCTCGTCGGTGCCTGCAGGTTCCTGGCGACGCCATCGCTTCGGGCTCCCTCTAGATGGAGAGGAGTTCGCGTCCGCGACCTAGCAGGCCCTGCTAGGCGCCCATCGCCAGGCTTACAAGAAGCACCTGCGATGATGCAGCTGCTCTTGGGGCATTTTGCCAACGCCTGGTGGCGGACAACGCGACGAGCGTCTACAGTGAGCGGACCTTGGAGGAAGCCGTTG